TAATGAAAACTCTACAATTCTGATTCACAGGTTATTATACACTAATAAAAAAGACTTATGAATATTGTATTCCATGCTCCTAAATCCCACACACTGATCCTTGAATGTGTGTGAAAGAAGTAAATGCCCTGAGAGGAGGACCCATGAGGTCTAAATCTCTCCTCCAGTCTCAGCTTGGGTCTAATTAAAACTAAACTGAAAATCACCCCCCCCCCCCCCCCCCTTCTCCACTCCTGTGGTTTATTTCCCCAAATGCATGCCTCAAGTGTCGAAAGCAAATCAGAGGCGGTGAGAGAAGTTTGGAATAGCAGAAAGGGGGGAAGGAATGAATGCAATTACCATTCAACCAGGGACAGCATCCGCATTGTGAGACACCTGAAAAAACATAATTTTTCATCATAGAGCTGTAAGGGAAAGGGAGAAGGGACGATGGAGATGAAATGAAAAGAGGAGATGGACAGATGACAGAACAAGGCAGAAAAAGTGGATGTGTGTGGTGAACTGAGAGTAGTTTTTCCATTCACTGTTTAAATCGGTGTCAACATGTTATCTTGTACATCTTCACACAAAGACATCTGACATTCAGGGCAACAGCTGCTCCTTATGCAATTTCTACACACTCACACACACAGAGCTGGAGAAACAGAGACTTACACTCAGAGACAGGCAGACACAGCAGCCCTCCCAGCAGGCCGGGGTTCTGGCTCGTGACATGCCTGCTTCCGGTTTGCCTTCCCGGCGTTTCGAAGTTCTGCACCTGCCTCTCTCTGCGACCCAGAGGTCCAGTTTTTCTCGTTCGGTTTCAGCATGAGTCTGTCTTTGAAGCTCGGAGGCGAAACCCAAGACCCTCGCTATCTGTTTTATGTGTTCCAGACTGAAAACACCAACTCAGCAGCAGCACACAACTGGTAGATTCATCCACATCTGCTACAGTGATTTGGGACACTATCATTTTATCGTGTGACACACTATATGTATCAAACTGCAATTTAGTGTACTTACGGGGTTAGCATGATTGAAAACTATTTCTGATGTCCTAAAGGGAATCTCTTACAGCCATTTAAAGGTCTGTGACTCCAACTCCATAAGGGACGCCCTTATACTTCTGCTGCTGGTATATCACTGTCATCTTGGCTTTTATTTATCACTACTGTCTAAATAAACCCGCGGGCAAAAGCTGTTTGTAGCTGTTTGCCTATAGAAATACATATATGGAACAGGCTTTGTTACAAAAAGGGGACACTTGTTGAATATTCATCGGGGTGTCTAGATTGATTTGAGTCTTAATATGCTTGTGTAGATTTGTGGGAACACAGTCAAAGTGTGTTCTTTCATTACTCTGAAAAAGGAAAATGTATATTCTATTACTGTTTGTAATCCAAGAATTGTCTTTAAACAGTTTCATTAAAAATATCATATGTTCTGTGGGTGGGCGGCACAGAAACCGCTGTGGTCCTATGGTCTGAGAGAGGATGTGGGCGTGCTTTCATTTCCATACAGGTATGGAGTGGGCTGTCAGTCTGCAGAGGACACAAGGAATGAACAAAGCTGCAGACTGTCTCTGGCTCTATCAGAGTGAATATAAGTCAGTCCTCGTATGCTCTTTCTACACTCAGACTGCACTGCGGTGAACCAGGAAGCGATCCCAACTTCTACGATCCCAATATGATACTAAATAACTGATGCGCTTTACAGCTGCAGCGCAGTTTGCTGACACATATTATAATGTTGACACAGAGACCTGCAACATGGTCCAAAGATACCTCTGAGATACCAAAAGTTGTGTTTACAGTTCTGATTCTTTGATTGGGATTTTTTTTTTTACCACCAATATCATTCCTATAAAGGACAAAGTTTGATTCTAATATTAGGAGTATGTTTTCTTGAATTCAGCAAGTGATATTTTTCTTTAATAAGACAATATGTTCAGATACAGTTTAGAATCACAGATCAGCTTGAACATCATTGCATTGGCAGTAGAGGGTCATATATGGCAGTTTTTAAAATGATGCCAGCGTAAAAGAATATAGCACGGCTTCTTAAAAATACATTAGGTGTCAATGATAAAAAATAGTGGTTTGAAATAAACATGCTTTGTCTATTTAAAAAAACAATGTTACTAAAGGACTGTTTTCTGAACCAGGACCAGTGGAAACTCAGACATCTATACAGACTCGTACACATTGTGTGCTGTCTCTTCAGACAATTTGATGTTCTCGTAACTCAAGTTGCTGCTATACTTTCCATCCACAGAGCACTTTGTTGGATGCAACAGTGGGATTTGTAGTTTTTTGGCTGTTATTAATAACAGGATAGTTTTCCAGGACATTGCCTCTCTATGTTGATAAACGTGAGATAATTATTGAAACAAAAATGTTCATCATGAGATTATAAACAAGGAAATTTGGTAAAAACTAAAAGGATTCTCTGAATGTCTTTAAAATGTGGTTATGGCTCTGGCTGTATCATATTTGTAAGCCACACTCTGGTTGTAATTATCTAAAAAATCCCAGATAGACTTCGTCCACTCCTTGTGTGAGGAGCTCTTTGTAATGTGAGGCATTTGTACTCCCTTCTGCTCGACCCGGTCTTATCTGACACAGTTAAAGCCAGACACCTGGTCAGAAGTGTGTCCATGTGTCCGTGCGGCCCTGTCTCAGACAATAAAACTCCCCCTGATCCTCTGTAGCCCTCTGCATGATTTATGGGCAGACTGAAGGTGTTCCTCAGGGCTGACTGGGTCAAGGACGCTGATACCCAGCCTCAAACACACTCCACACCTGACAAGATAAGCCTGGTCATATCCTGAGTTTGTGTGCAACAACCTCACCCTGAAAAAAATCATAACCAGCACCTGTGATTGGAAGGAGTGGAGGAGAACAAGTGGCTCAGAGATAGATATGAGATAGAAGTCAGTGGAAGGAATGGAAGTGTGCTGCCTTTGAGACAAACACTGAAAATATAACTCAGAATAAAGGATATTATTATGTATCAAGAGTCATGAACCATTTTCAATTATTTTCTATCATTTCTTTTAATTTCCCCTTCTAAAGTGGCATCAAAAGTGGAAAAATGTCCAATCCACATTGTCTGACAGCATATAGCACAGATATTGAATTAGCCTATACTGAAGTTATTGAGTGGATATTGAAACCCTGCATTTTTTAAGGAACCAAATGTATACAAATTTCACCTTATACTATCTGGACTATCTTTGGAAACATTGGAATTAAGATTGTGGTTGAAAAGTGAAGTTTGGCTGTTTTTCATGAGTTTGAGATGCCTATCACAACAACAGGATTCTGGGAGTGAAGATGTTACAGGTCCCTTTTTTAAAGGGTATCATTATACCACAACCTGCTGGGACTCATTAGTATATATTTTTTCCTGCAAGCATTCCTGTCCGTGATTCCATTTCAGTAAAAACAATCAGACAATTGAAATGGTCTGATGAATCCCCTAAATGAAATTGATGCCCATGTTGTTACAAACTTATTTTTCAGACGTTACCAGAACATGGAAACATTTTTCTTTTTTACAATGCAATTAAATACTGAAGAAGTAAATCAGTAAAAAGTGAACCATTATAAGTCTACTCCCTTTGTTATCTGGGACGATTGGAACATTTTACTCCTGTTCTTAATCCAGCAATAAAATAATTGTGTCATCAAGTCAGGTTCAAAGAGGTGAAGGCTTGGATGTGAAAACTGTTTGAGGCTAAGATAAACTCGAGGAGAGATGGGAGTTGAAAGAAGGATGCTGGAAGATGGGAGACATCTATGAGTTTGGGATGGCAGAATAATAAATGGATGACTGATGAACAAGTGAGCAGGGGGTCAAGAAGGAAAAAGGCAGAGGTTATCAAGCATGATGTGTTAAAGTAAGTGAGATGAAATGTACTGCCATTAACTCAGGCAGTTATCTGCAAGGACTCTGTAGAGTGAAAACACCTGTGTATAAAATATATTACACATTAAATGGGAACATATTTGTACGGCTCACGCTTTAACTCACAAAAACCAAGGCTGCCCATACGGGGGGAAAGAGGGGAAAGCTTTCTGGTGCCCAACCACATGGGGGCTGCCCATGGAGGTCATCAACAAACATGGTCAACCAAAACAGCTCGATCCAGCCATGTGTCTTCAGCATTAATTTATTATTATATTGAGATTTTTCTTTTTAAATTGCAGTGTGTTGCACAACGCTCCCATTCTTCAAACCACCATTAAAGGTCATGTGCATGCCATGGATTTTCCTCCAATGCATGTCCTTTCTATGGCAAGCAACTTCACCTATAAGGGAATTTGTCATTAACACATTTAACAAATATGAAAGAATGAAATGAGATATCAGCCCCCTTCATTTATAGCAAGATATTCTACAGTAGACTAAGGGACAATAGTCATATAAGGAGGTGACCTTCAGTTAACCTCTCTCTTCCCACTCCAGATTGTGTGTTTCACTCGCCTGTAAGCTGCCATAAGATGATCCATCTGGTGGAAGCTGAGCGGGCAGGATCCTCTTTTCAAACTTGCAAGATCATGCAGGTCAAAGTTGAGCTGGTTCGATCCGCCTGCATTGAGGACCAATAAGTGGCAGAGATTCAAACTGTGACTTATCTTAATTTACCTCTTGTGTCTTAGTCTTTTTACCTTCCTTTGTGATTTCTAGTTACAGAAACATGTGGACACTGTTCATGGATGGGCGTGCAAAATGATACAACGGGATCTGGTTTAGACAGTATGGATGTGCAGGTAAGATAAGACCTTATCCAATGACTTCAACTCTGAACATGCAGGTGGTTCAATGTGAGACTACAAAGATTCTTCCTCAACTACCGTATACATAAATGTATTTAGATTTACACTCTCCGAGACATCTGGCTTCCCCTTTTTTTTTCTTCCTGAACATGGCAATAACTCCAGTGTGGGTCAGAGTGAAAATAAACCAAGCAGGCAAAAATGAGAAAGCTCTTGATGGCAAGAAAAGTCACGTGAAAGTTATGCTGTTTGCTTTGTTTATTAGAGGTATATTGTCAAACATTTTACAAGCTGTTGCTTAAATGTTTCCATTTAGAGAGAAAAATGCAACACTGAAAAACAGTTACTATAGCTCAGCAGAGAACACTTTTAAAGCCCCTGTTTGAAAGGCTCTAAAGTCCCAGTTTTATTTTCAGTTTTCCTTTTTTTCTTGACACATGCAGACACAACTAACACTTCAGTAGCTACAATACACAGAGCTTTCAAATGGCTTGTTAGTTGAGCTTTTGAAGGCAACACCACTCATGTCTGCTATCACGTGTTGTACACTAAAATGTGTGCAATGATAAGGTGGAATGTTTAAGTAACACAGACTGTTAATTCAATACACTGAACAGTTTTACAGATGTAAAGCTACCATAACTTATCTTCATGTGGACGGCAGGCTCTCAGTTTGCTGTATGCTCCGTTGAGTGCAGGTATCTTAAATAGTTTTAAGATTAAATACAACATATTGCAGCTATTTTAAATACTTAATGTGTCTTTTAAGTTAGAATTGCCTTTCAGTGGAATTATGTATAATCACAACACAACTGTCATTTGTATTTTTTCACATCTGCAAAAAAAAATGTACAAAAAAGTATTTTTTAAATAATGGTGATGATAGTACATTCAAACAAAAAAAATAATAGTTCATCGGCATTATTGTTGTGGTATTAAATAGCTTGTGATGTAAGGGTGCTTGTAAGCGACAGTATGTCTTTTATAAAAACAAATGCACCCCACCTCTTGGTTCAAATACTGCAAAAACAACACTGACGCACAGATTGGACACTGTGCTAGTGCCATCGTCATCTTGCAAACACTGTTGATCATCAGGAAGTCCTTCAGAAAGTTGCACAATTCTGCTCCAGAATTTCAAATCTAAGCCTCTCAACTGCCTACTCAGAAATGTTACCATTTTAGCTCAACATCAAAAAAGCTAAACACATGTGCATATGCCTGTCAGACAATCGTGTGAGAGTGTAATGGGTGGAAAACACCACAATGTTGAATAGACACCTTCGATGTTAAAGCGCTGGCTTCTCATGAGAGAACAAGTAGCCTGTTGGTTGATGGTGTAAACAGCTGCATCATCAGCATATGGGAAAACATTGAACAGTAATTCCTGGCAGTTTACATATGTTGCCTTATTATCTGATCTTTTATACTGCTGTGTGGTAGATTTGACTGTCTGACTTTTTTCCTTCTATGCCTGACTCTTTTCTTGCTCCTGACAATGATGATAAAGCTACTATACGCCTTCTCTGGTCTTCCTCCTCCCCACTCATCCTTATTTTGCTGCTACATATATCTTGATCAGTCTCTATCTGTTTGCAGTGAGCTGGCTACCGCCTCTTCTTCTCACCATCTGCATTTCCCTGCTATTTTCTCTATCCGATTTCCATGATGCTCCTCCATCCTGATCTAGATTTTGTGGGGTGAGTGCTTCGAAACCCACTACCGGCATCCGCAGCCCTCCACCACCATGTCCTGGTAATTCTTCAGCACCACTCGGTCTTGAGGGTCCAGGTAGAGCAGTGCGATGGGGCTGAGGGAGGTGGGGACGCAGCATGCCCGGGGTACTGCTCCATTCACAGAGTTTACCAGAGTTTGAACCATTGCGTGGCTAGAGGAGTTCATGTGGTCAGCCAAAGGAAAGCGACACTCTCCAAGGCAGAAGAAGGCGTCGTAGCCACTTGGTGCTATGATCCACTTGTGCCATCCCACATCATTGAAATCTACATAGAGAGGATGACGACGGCATCTGTTACGGGAAAGGCGTTTCAGTTTGGCAGCACGACCACCGTTTCTTTTAACCCTTCCACGGTCACTCCAACTGATTCCTCCTTTATCATTCCCCCAGCCTGGCTCTGCGTACTCAGTTTTTTTGGCCCTCCGCAAGATTTGGTCTTTATTGCGACCCTTACTGCTGCTTCTGCCCCTCTCTTTTTTCCCTTTTCTCCCTCTCAGCCTTTGACCACCACTTGGTGTCCTCCTGCCATGTTTTACCAAAGGCTCTCCATGCCCGTCATGACTATAAGTCACCAAGAGTGGTCTTTCCTGGGCCCAGCTGTGCTCGTCCTGACCCACAGACCTGCATACCCTTAGGTGTCCCACTTTATGTCTCTCTACATCCTCATCACCTGCAGCAGAGGAGAGGCTGTGATCAGGGAAGGAAGTGGTTCTGTTCTCTGGTCTGATCTCCAGGAGGAAGCCAAGGCTGCCAGTCCCACTTCCAGAAAGGGCCTTTTGGAGGAGCTCTGTGTTTAAGCTAAAAGCCTCCCAGAAGCTACTTGCTTTTTGACTGTTGAGGCCAGTGCTGAGTAACCTTGTCTCCAGCAGGGTGGACTCAGGATTCTCATGGTGCTCAGAGAGGTATACATTCAGTCTGTGGGCTCCAGAGCCCAGTGAAGCTCTGTCACTGCGGAGGATACGAAGCTCAGCGGAGAGCAGCCTTTCATCCTGAGGGATGGAGGAAATATTGAAGGAGATGTGCGCTCTCTTATGATCCTCTGCCTTGGGAAATTCTGCAAGGTGCTCTAGGAAAAAATGAAGAAATGCAAAGTGTGAGAATTAAGTATGATTTAAAAACAATAGACATTGGCAATATTTGATTTTTTCCAGATCTTTCTTAATTCTCCAGAACTGGATAATTCCCAGATGACTTATCAGTATTTGCAAATAACTTTAGTGAAGTGAAGCCGTACAGATGTGATGGTAGTTATTGTTAGCAGTTTCCAAGTTTTCCATTGTTTGAAGATATTTAGGATTAAGACCATACCCCAAGTGAATAAAAACACAAGTCCCCTGGTGGTGTACTTTTACCATTTTTTAACAGGCCTGAATGTGCAATAGTCATGTTTGGCTGTAAACTTCTTCTCTTATTTAAGTTACTGTTTGTGAATGGCGGGAGGATTACCACCTGGGCAAAAAGAAGTGCCTGCCCCAGGACCCAAAGCCACCAACTGCCTTCTGTCTAATGTACTTGTCTTATAATGTACTTGACTAATGACTAGTCTTTGTATTTTGATTAACTTCAAATGTGTAATTCCGTCCAATAAAGTGTAACAACCATTGAAAAAACAACTTCTGCATTAAAGGCTAACTTTTTGGTCATCTCTTCTGAAGGCCGCTGTCGTGATTTTGACTGCACTTATGCTCAAAAACAACACCGCTAGAGGGGTTGGGGGCAATTTTTCCCTGCCATGACCTTTGAGTTCAGATAAGAGACTACAAGTGTGTTCTGATTACTTTGCAGAGTCAAAGCAAACAGGCTTGGTAATCAGGTGTATTCAGCCTTCTCTCTTGTGTTGCTGATTTTAAAAGCATTAACTAAATTGAATGGATGTAATACATTGAATGCAGATTTAAGATTTCTTGCAACCCCCTTGCAAGAAAGCACTAACAGAGTTGCAATCAACAAATGACAATCAAAGAAGAAATACAAACAACTATGAACATGGAAGTGGGTGGAGGAAAAGTGGGGGCCTATAAGCAAATGTTTGTCCTGGGCCCCTTAACGGATTATTCCAGCCATGCTCAGAACGGCTGTGTAGGGCCCAAAATGAATTCCGTGTGAGATGTCTTACTTTGCTATCACACTTTGAGAGAAGACTCTAGGATTGTAACAGCTCATCTTATCTAATGGTGCACAGATGGATCTTAATGAGTGTTTAGATTGTCAAATGGTGAGTCAGGAACAACTTCTGCTACTGTCATAAATAGGATCTTTATAGTTCTGTGACTGATAAAAGAATTTAACAGATTGCAAAAACAGCTTCCCTGTTATGAAGGGCAAAGGACAATATCAAAGACAGTTCAAATATTTTAATTGTTATTTAACATCCAATACAACGCATGGGCTAAAAATAGGCTTACCACTGTGGTGAAAGCTGCGTACAGTGTTAGCCTGCTGGATGTGCTGGCTGGGGAAGCTAAACAAGGGGTCCTCCACTAGATGGTACTGCTGCTGGTGGAAGCGGTAAAGATCCAGGAGGTACCGGGGCACCGGCACTCCAGGCCGAGGGTTGGGCTGCGATTGGAGGCCAAGCCGGCTCAAGAGGAGACTCTGAATGGTCTGAGCCAGACTGGGCTTTAAGAAGGAACCAGCTGGCGAGGGTGGCAAGGAGGAAGGCATGGGGGGCACCCTGCCATTGTTGATCTCGCTGGTGTCTCCACCCTGGCGACCAGACGAGGCTTGAGGTAGCAGCAGGACCATGAGGAGCAGGAGGTTAGCAGGGAACATGGTGGACCTGGAGAGAGAAGAAGACAGATGATGGGAGGACAGGGATTGGTGGAGAAACAAAGGAAGAGTAGAAGAAGAGGTGGATAAAAAAAGAGAGGTGAGCTAATTATCAAGAAATAAACCTGTGAAATCAGGCTGTGCAGCAGTGCTTTTATATTAGGTGCTTAGGATTTATGTGCTTTACTCAGGGACAGTGTAAATCATATGACATAATGACACCATATAAAGTATTGGTTGAGAAATCTGCAAAAGAGATAGCTGCTCTGAGATGCTCCTGTACTCTGTATATCATGCTTATGTCCTCTCCTTCCTGGACACGCTAGTTTCTCATTAGTCTTCAGCCTTCATGTGGCATATGTTCAAGAAATTTACTGTCCACATATCCATATGAAGTTGTTTGCTCGTGGCTGCAGAAACAGTGCCACTTTGTTTTTTCTCGGTTAATTTATGGCGATCTTCATACCCCCAAGGCCCATATATCTCCCAGGACACCTAAGCAGGAGTAAAGAGGGCTCTATCTGTAATTTAATTTAATTTAATGCTGCTTGTTTGTGTGTAAAAGAGATCAAAGCTGTGTATGAAAGATAAGTAGCATTTATCAAATAAGGTTGACTCTAGTGACATGTAATGAAGTTGTAAGGGTCTGTCACAATGACAGATAACTGGATTTTTTTTCCTAGTTTCCTTTTCAAATCACTGGAGAATAGAAGTATTAAAACATTTCTTTCGCTGTTGTCTGTGTGGGGCGAGTGAAAAAGACAGAGATCTTTGGATTTCTAGCTTTAGGTGCCTAATTGGTAGTTTAATCAAATTTGAATACCGCTAAAACCTTTAAATTCAACACTCAGATTTATCACTCAGAGAAGTTGTCTGGTTGTGATCCATGCGCGTGTGGTTTTCCACTAAGAAGATCCTGCCACTCTAATTTTGCTGATGGATAAAATGCGACAGGTTGCAGCAATCATCGCTCATTGACTTTGAACCTTTGCAGGCAAGGGGTGTAATAGATTATGGACATATCCATGTGGAGGCTTTTCTTGTTCTTTATTGAAGTATTTACAAGCAGAATTTGTTGAGATTCAAAGTGGGAATGATATAGGAACTGTAAGCTATTGACTGATTGTGTTTTTCTTTGAGTATGCATATTTTCCCTATGTTAATTTAATACTTCCAATGAATGGAGAGCCCTCTGAAACACATGGGAATGCACTAGAACTTTTGCTAGACTGTCACATACTGCATAAAAATGATGAAATTGCATAAGAGACTGGTGATTTGTTTTCATTCATGCTCAGGGTGGAGAAACAGAACCAAAGGATTATGATGGGAGGTACATGCCTCCACTATGATGAAGTGTTTTTGAGCTTACCTCAGGTCTAATGTTGTGTTTTTGGACTCATGGTCACAATGCTAATCTCTTCTATTTCTACCAACATGCTATACATGATATTCAAATAGCTAAAGTACAGCTACAGCATTATTTCAGATGCCACTGCAGCAACTCTTCTTAAACTCCTTTAAGTAATCACCTCGTCTCCTGCCATGACTATGCTCAGTGCGGGAACATTGCAACAGACAGGGGTCACACAATTACCTCCACGACCTGGCTAACACCCTGGACTTCTGTAGTGCAGCTGTTAATCACTGAGCTGATAATTAGAAACCAGAAAGTTAAGAGCCCTCTTGACCTAGAGAGGTGGAGGTGAGATGTAAACAATTCAAGGTAAAGGATTAGAACCTAATGAACAGTCACTGACATGAAAAACTGATCTGCAAACTAACTAAAAAGCTACACATTTGAATGGATTCGAGCTGAATCGTGTAGAGTTTGTCTTCCTGCTTCCTCCTACTTTCTCAAAAGAAGATGCAGCTGAATTACTTTTTACTCAAATATGAACTGTAATGCTTTTATCTCTTTCCTTGTGTTCCCTTGCATATATCTCCTCTATCTCTTTATCTCATCTCTCTTAGGGACAGAGAATTGATTTTACCCTTTACGACAAGATAACAGAGGTCTTTTTATGGCCCAGCAAACACATAATGACGCTGTAATGACTGCTAAACTCCACACACGGACAGAAAAAGGGTTAAAAGGAGGTCACAGGTGTGAAGGTGTGCTTGATTTTATGCAGTTGCGCCTGTGTATATGTGTGTTGGGTACGAGGTTCAAAGGGCAGGCCTGGGAAAATAAGCCACCTCCAAGCGTGGGATTGTTGCTAGCTATCCATTAAACTCTTGCAGCCCCACCTAGGGCTGTTTCACCTGAGGCATGCAGCCGAAGACAATTACAGATTAGACACTCTGCTGGATGGCCTCTCCCATATACTGTGAGGGCTTGTAAAGCAGATTGAGGACAACAACACCTCTCTCCTGTACTTTCCTCACCTACAAAACCACCCAGGTGACTTCGAGGGGGTTCAAAGGTTTATTCGTCACACCACAGGGTGTGTGTCTCTGCCAGGCAGAGAAACACTGACAAAGAGGAGGAGAGGAGGGCTGCAAGAAGAGGCCAGCTTGCCATACATCACTTTTACATACTTTATCTGATGGCTCTCTATGTGGGTTTGCGACTGGTTCTGTCCAAGGCAAGTCTAATTCACCATCTCTATCCATCATGTGCATCAGGGTGCCACCCACCCTGATGTCGACTCATTCTAGTTATCTGGAAACCCTGACATTTTTATGATTACACCCCCACAGTTCCTGCTCTTACGTCTGACTGCCACTTCCTTACTGTACTCTTTTGGCACAAACTAATCAAACGTACTGTGTTACTGTATGATGAATGAGTTAGAGATAAGGTGAAATGAAGGGTTTGGAATCTGCTGCAGTGTTTCCAGCCTCCTTAAGCATGCGGCTCTGCCTATTAGACATATTAGATGGGACCTGACCTCCCGAGCCAACAGTAGCGTGACCCCGGCGCGAGGCAGACGAGTGTCGTCGCCGGCATGCCTCGTGTCTTTCTGAACTCGCTGATTAAAACCTCTGCCCTCTGATGGCCTCTTTCTCGGGTTTCTCTTTTTATCTGTTTATTTTCACCCCTGTTCCCTTTCCTCTTCCTCCTTCCTCTTTGCATTCCTTGAACTCTGTCCTTCTGCTTTGTCTTCAGTGTTGTCATAAAGCAACTGCTTTTCTATTTTCTTCTTCCTCTCTACTGAAATCTCTCATTCATTCTCATTTATTATATCTGTTTCCATGATCCTCTGCATCAACTTTCCAGTCTCTATCTCCCCTTGCTCCTGCTTATGTTGCTCTTTTTTCCTCGGCCTTAAATGAATGGTGTTTTTGCGGAAGAGTGCGGCGGTCTGTTGCCAGGCCAGAGGGCCCAAGTGTCACCGCAGCCGGCTGATTTATCCACCGCCGCTGTCTTCATGTTACGCCTGGTCCCTCAACTTTCCCTTCCTGTTGTTCTTCCCGTGTTTCTTTTCCCAAATTCCTCCTCTCATTTGTTCTAACCCCGTCACCCCCCACCCCCTTCCAGCTCTCACTTTTCTATGCTGCTTTTTTATTCTTGCAGAACATGATATATGCCACAGGGTTCATTTTCTCGCTCAGAGCGTACTGAAATACTTGAAAATATGTTGTGTCAGATAGCCTTGTGATCACAAGTGTGATGTTTGGTGTACTCATGCACTTTGGAGGATACAGCTGCTTCCACTGCTGCTCTTTTCTCCAACAGCCTATTCAAACCATATACATCTAATACTGTGATTTTATGACTTCACAGTAGCCCCCATTAACTCGCCATTAATGCACAACTTTGAGTGGAGTTAATATGTAATTAGGGTGGGATGAAAAGTGTCCAGAACAGTTGCCGTTGGAGTTGTGGTTCAGCTCACTGAGGTGTAACAGATGAAATCATTAGAACAATATTACAGGTCGGCTGCTGTGTGGTTTTTATTGCACTCTATTTAGAACAGCTCTCTAATTCATCCCAGCTGGGCCGATTAGCAGGCTAATGACCTACGCGTCAAACTTGATGTTACTGTTTCTGTTTAATACACACACACACGCTTAGGAGCACAGGCTGCAAACACATACAATATGCAAGGTGGGAGTGAGCGCTAACACGTAAGCAGAAACACACTTGAGACGTCTAGCTGTGGAGAAACCAGGTTGTTAAAACGTTATAGCCTATAGGTTTGGACACACACGCGTCAATACATACACGCACACTCGCATGCTAAGAACTGCGCGGGGTCCAGACATGTTAATGAAAGCAGAGTGAGCACTTACAATTCAAAGAAACACACACACACACACACACACACACACACACACACACACACACACACACATATTTATGCACATTCCCTGGCTTAGTTTAAAGTAAAGACACATAAGTGCAAACACACACACCCACACACACATAGACAAACACATTTGCACATATACTGGCTTGGTTCAGTAGACAGTTAGAAGTTGAGAAGACCCCAAACTTTCCCTGTCTTCACATTATAACTGCATCCTGGTTGCATTTCTACACACATTTAACACTCCCACAGGAACACACACTGTGTTTTGGATGTAGTATCCTTTCTTTGAGCCTTAGCCAAGCATCAAAAGGTTGCTACGTCTGCTCTCGTTCATACTCATTGCCTCTTTTCTCCCTACAGAATCTCTTCTTGTGTTTCAGCCAGTGATACCTGGAGGTCTCAGACTCACAAGAGCATTGTGGTTAACAGGAGGCCCCCGCTGAGGCGCAGCACGGCGAAGGCATCAATGGAAACACTGACATATCTAACCCGTGACTGCTGAAAGCTCAGAGGCTGCTCTCATCGTGCGTCTGACAGCTCAACTGACGTGAAATACGGAACAAAAACACACCTCTGCTTTTCACATTAAAAGCTGCAGAGCGTTAACACTGAGGGCCGATTCATACTGAGCATGCTGCGGTGCTGGAGAATTACGTTATGCTCTTTGAACTCATAATGGGCACATTATTCTTGGACAAGTCGCTCACCGGACAAGATTTTGATTGAGCAACACTGTGTGCCAGCAGTGTATGCATGAGCAGGAGTGTGTGTGTGTGTGTGTGTGTGTGTGTGTGTGTGTTGATCCCTAGAGTAACTAATGGTTTCAGCAGCACAGTTCCTGTGGCTTGTGGCTTGACAGACAGACAGATGTGTGTACATGTGTGTATATGTCTATGTGTGTGAGAGAGAGTGTAAGAGACATGTATTACTCACGTCCAGGTGTAGTGGGATGTATGCAGAGTCCATGGTTTATCCTTGAGCTCCAGTGTTACGATCCCTCGGCTCTCGCTCCCGCTCCTTTGGACAAATTGGATGAATTTGACTTTTGAACTTCTTTATGTCTCTCTCGTCTTTCTTCTCACCTCTCTCTAGGTAACCTGTCCCTATCTCTCCTATGTCTCCTGTGTAAACGGAGTGCTCCCTCCATGTTTCTCTCCCCCTCTCTGAGTCCTCGCTCAGCTTCTCATCCTGTTGTCAGTGTCAGATAAGCAAACTCCTAAAAACATCCACCGGCTTCCCTTCTGCCTGCCCGCCTGTTTGACCCTTTCCTAGTAGGCAACACCCTTTCTCTGCCGCCTGCACTTCCACTCCTGTTGGTTTAAAACACACATGTGCAAGAAGTTGCTTTAAGACAATGAGTTGTGTCTGTCTGTCTGTCTGACTGTCTGACTGAAGTGTAACACCAGCAACAACTCCTTCTTGTTCCTAAACCCTCCTTACTACATCTCTCTCCCTTCCTCTACACTGTGTTCCTCCCTTTTGTATCTCCTCCCCTTTTCCTCTCCCTCTCTCTCTCTTCTTTGCTCTCTCTCTCTCCCAACACACACACACACTTTTTTCTTTTTTAGTTTTCTATCTTATATTACGTGCCCAGCTGGTAAACTACGTTTAGCTCTAGACTTTCCTGGCCACTAAGATCCTCCTAAATAGTGATGTCACTAAGACCGGCCCTAGTAGATTTACAAGCTGTTATCTCTCACTCTCTCTCTCTCCCTCGCTCTCCCTCCTCGTACACACACACAAACACACACGTACACACACATGCAAGCAAACACAGGCATATAGTCAAAACAAAACTTGCAAACAAACACTGATATCATTCTCACAGACACACAACGACACTTAATTAAACCGAGCACACTCAGAAAGACAAGAAGTAGCAAAATCACACACACTGACCAACACACACGTGTGACCTGTTCCAGATAACCCTAAGGTCAGCACACAGAAGCAGCTGACTGATTAGTTTCCACATTTCTCCGTCTAACAAACTCACCTGCTGCTCGTCTTTGGCAACATTTCAGGTGTGGGCCTCCACGCTCACAGTCACTCGCTCTGTCATTATAAATACGAGGCCCCATGACACGAATGAGAGCAAACAGATTCAGTTTCAAGACAAATGCATGAATGGATGACTCATAACAGCTGCTGTGAAGTCACTTCAGTTGAGTTTTGTGATTGGATGGGAATAAAAAAAAAGAAGAAATTACTTCTCCACTACGGGTTGAAGCAAGGTGCATCCGTCCTTCCAGTGCCGACCGGGTGGTGGAGGAGAATTTGTATTCATGGGGTGGGCCCATGAGAAAACGTCTCTTTAGGATGCACCGTCTCACATATTAGATCTCATCTGGAGAATCACTAGCCCACGTCCCCCCCTGCTCCTCCCCTCAGTCCCCTCCACCTGCTCTTCCTGTCACACACACGCGCACAAACACACACACAGACACACACACACACACACACACACACACACACACACACACACACACACACACACACACACACACACAAACCTCATTCATCCCCTGGCTGAGTAATTGTCCCAAGTCAGACAAACGTCTCACACACACACACACACACACACACACTCACACACTGGTCTTTTCTCACACCTTTTTTTTAAATTTTTTTATCAATGACAGTCTGGATATCATCAGAATCAGTATGTGTTTGTAAATAACTTTATGAAATCTAGGATGATGGAATTGTACATTTTCACACATCCTCTCATAGCCGACTGTAAACATCGAATCTGAACTAAAATAACTGAAACTGAATTTCACTCTTTATTCAAGAAATCATCCTTCTGGTTGTTGTTGTCAGTACTGAGCACTGTGGCTACTGTGGCTCAGTAGTAGAGTTTACCGTCTTTCTCAATGAAGGTCGGCAGTTTTGATCCCAGCTGACACAGTCTACATGTCGAAGTGTCCTTCTGCAAGGCTCTAAAGCCAACATGGCTCCCGGTGTTATTAGCACCAGTGTTAAAATGTGTATGAATGGGATTCGTTCATGGGCGCTTTAGCAACCTCTGCCGTCAGTGTGTGAATGTAAAAGTTGTTTGAGTGGTCAAAAGACTAGAAAAGAAAAGTGCTATACAGTATAAATACCGTTCATTTAGCATTTCTTGACTTGGAACAATAGTTGAAGAACATAAATCCTGCTGACCCTGATCTTTGACCTCCTCCTATAGGAGAGCTTTGAGTGGAAACAGACTTTTGCTTTTTGTTTCATTGCATTCATAAATAAATCTAAACGAAGATGGAAAAAAGTCACAAAAAATGTACAAACATGGGCTGCAACTCTAACCTGTGTGCACAAAATATTAAATAAATACTTCTCCTTTGGGGGGAAATCAGTAACTTCAACCTCCTTGTAGAGAGTTCAATTTGAAGTTTTACACAACTCCCATGTGTTCATGAAGCAAAAAGAGGTTCATGATAAACTTAGCTTAGCACATGAGCTAACTAGAAGCATGGAGAAGCTGCTATAGAGCCACTGCATCAAATTGGTTCTGTCATGAAAATAAAGTACATCAACCACATGTTACTTAAAGTTGTTCCCTGATCCACGGTTAAATTGATTGTTTTACATTTCTGTGTGTTTTCATTCAGACAGATTATTTAGATTCAAGAGGAAGTTTCTTGATCCCTGATCTGAATCTCTCTCGCCTAACTTTATGTGGCCTTGTTTGCTTCTGTGTCTGTTCCCCTTATTATCTATTCTCCCTCCTAAACACCACTTTGTGTCTGCTTTTTTCTCCTTCTCTGTAATTAAAGGAACCAAACGGACCATGACCCCCCTGAAGCCCCCTCCTCAAGTGTCATTCTCTGAGTTCAAAGGCACAAAATCTTTGACATATCAGCAATCTCTTTTTGTCTCTCTTTAATCCCAAATATATGGCTGTTTGTGATCCATTATAGTTGCCGTAAAAGTGCTATGTGAATTTTTTTTGTTGATATTGAGAACAGGATCTATCAAAGGTTTTCCCTGGGTGTGTTAAAGGAAACTGTTAGAGTCATATTAATGTGTGAGCTACAGTATTTTGTCAACACCTGCAGAAAACATACGTCAGCAAGCTTGCAACGTATCAATTTTAAAATAAAAACAATACACAGGAACGTAATGCTTACTATGATTAAATGCATATTTAAAGCAAGTTTAATGACCTCAGGTTACTTTCCTTTTATCACCTGCAGATAGGCGAGTGATACAATCTGACTAAATGTACAGTGAAGTCAGCAGAAGTGTAAATCACACCACCTCACAGATCTCACTGATCAACAGGTTGGCAAATTAACTCAAGTTAAGCAACACAAACTTGTTTGCAAACATATCATATGTAAAATGTCAAATTTAGGGGAAAATACTTCTGAAGACATACAGAATATGTCCACTTGATTCATTGATGCAACTTGAAAAATGTTCATTTTTGTGTATTTCCTTATATATTTGTACAAGGACCCTAGAGGGAGTTCAGAAGCCTCCAGTATGTACATGTACAATTTTTTCCAATCATAAAAAAATGAAAAAGTAATTAACACATGCAAAATTTGCCAGCATGTGCCTGTGAGATATGACATGTATGAGCATTGTTTCTATATGAATGCATAAAGGCCAATAGAGATTCAGGGTGCTGGTTTCATAGCTGAGCAGCAGCTGTGGCTTTGCAGAGAGCCTTCTCCAAACGAGCAGTAACTCCAGCCTCCAGGTTTCCCATCCTCTGGAAAAGCCGTCGGCTGCCTGTCCTGCTTACTTCCGACGGGGGCGGAGAGAAACTTTAAAGTAATACCTCACCGCCCTCTTAACAAGCCATCCATCCGTCCTGCATCCCAGAGTTCCCACCTCCGTACGGCTCCATCCCTCCATAGCCACAGAGGACGAGGCCCCGTCAGGAGAGGAGGAGGAGGAGTAGGAGGAGTAGGAGGAGGAGGAGGAGGAGGAGGAGGAGGAGGTCCAAAATGTTCCCTGTTTAACCACACTTGTCTTTTGTCTTTTTTCAGCGTGTCTCATAATTGTTATAATCAGCATGGATCTTAGGGCAGTTAGTCCGAACAGTGAGCAACATATTCATGAGAAAAGATGTTTTTAGAGTTTAAATCATTTATAATGGTTTTAATTAACAGACAGATGAATGCATATGAAACATTCGCAGTAGCTTATCAAACTGTTCAGTTTTGATCAGAATAAATGTAACAAATTGTACGATTTAACATTTTCAGTTTGCAAGCTCGTTCACAACAGGTAAAAATGAATGAAGACATTCATTACAGTCTGATTCTGTTATAAAGTTTCATCTTTCTCTGAGTTTATTAACTAAGATATTTAATCACTTCCTGTAAATCTGTGAGAAGTGGGAACTGTCCTTCTTTCGGACCAGATAAAGAAATGTTGAAAAAAGTTGAAATAACTGATTCTGGATATGGACTGCACCATTGTTGTGTTGCAGATAAAAAAAAAACAATACTTAGTATGAGTGGAATGACAATGAAATGGAGCAAATTAAGTTAAAAACTGACAACTAGGAAGTCAATGTAAAGTGTTGTTTAGAACTTATGGAAACAAAGGGGCCTAATGACTCGGTCGTCTATATAGACTTTTCCCAAAATCACATTTTCCTGAGACGAGCACGTCATGGAGCAGAGTGAGTCATGCTAGAAAAGCTTTACAGACCCAAAATAGGCAAAGATTTATGTTCAAACACTTAAGTTGATTGATGCCTCAGCAGTCTGAAAGAAAAACACGAGGAACAGGAGAGTGATTACTGTGACTGCTTTACATTTTCCTTTATTGTGTGTATGTAATGATGTTACATTGTGTTGCTCATTCTTATGCCTCTTATGTACAACGAGGAACAGACCACAGAGAAAAAAAGGAATAATTTGTCAAATAAAGTCTTTACATAAAGTATTGAATCGCTGATTTATATTTGTCGGTTTAAAAATAAAGCTAATGTTATGTTACGAGCTCACATGAATGAGCCGGGCTGTACAAATGAAAGTTACCTATCAGCCCCTTTTCACACATGTCCCCATGAGATGTTTACAAAACATCCACGATGGCAGATGAAGCAAGAGTCCAATGCTATGATGAGGGATGATTGGACCTAGTTACGGTATAGAAAAGAGTGTAAAAAAGATGCTGCACTGATCGCAGGATATCAATGTTATCACAGCAGTCATACCTCAACTAGCTGTGACTATTTTTCCTGAATATTATCTGATTTTACACATCAGCTTATTATAACTCAACACAGAAATTATAGAGGCTGGCAGGAAAAAATCTGGGTAGGCTTGAGTAGGAACAACTTCAGGAAAAAAAACAAAATTGTTTTGTTCATGTGGAAAGAGCTCTCCTGATTTGTAGAGATGCGTTGATTTAAACAAAACAGTTTGGATGTCAGCTTTTTTCCTTTTTTGTCTGTCTTTTGATTTTATGTATAATTCTAACGACTTTGGCTCCTTTTCCCCCCAATCAATAAAAAACTGCAATTTGTACTCTGTAACCCTAGAGTGTGTAACATAAAGGTGAATCAAATTTTATTTGAAGTTCTGTCCGTGCTGGGTAAATACCTGAGGAACCTTTCTATGATACCCTAAATCACTGTGCTGCTAGTTTAACCTGAACTGAAA